TGAGATCCAATAATGTGTTGAGTAGACAGGGGAAAAGAGCTTTGTTTCCAATGGTTCAACTCTCCTGGCTGCCTTTAACCCTTCCAGTTGGGTACCATCAAGGTCTTCAAAACCACAAACAGAGCAGATCATAGATTCAGAATTGGAAGAAACAAGGGCCATACAGTGAGTTGTTGTAGGTTTTTTCAGGCTATATGGCCATGTTCTAGAGGCATTCTCTCCTGATGTTTCGCCTGCATCTATGGCAAGCATCCTCAGAGGTAGTGAGGTCTGTTGGAACTAGGAAAATGGGTTTATATATCTGTGGAAAGACCAGGGTGGGATAAGGAACTCTTATCTGCTGGAGCTAGGTGTGAATGTTTCGACTGACCACCTTGATTAGCATTTGATAGCCTGGCAGTGCCTGGAGCAATCTTTTGTTGAGAGGTGATTAGATATCCCTGATTGTTTTCCCTCTGCTGTTTAGCTGTTTTAATTTTAGAGGTTTTTTTAATACTGGTAGCCAGATTTTGTTCATTTTCATGGTTTCCTCCTTTCTGTTGAAATTGTCCACATGCTTGTGGATTTCAATGGCTTCTCTGTGTAGCCCGACATGGTGGTTGTTAGAGTGGTCCAGTATTTCTGGCCATACAGTCTGACTTCCTTACCAGGCAGCCATCAAAGCCCTCCCAAGAGATGGCCATCCAGCCTCTACTTGAAACCCTTGAGAAGGAAAGACTGATAGATTCCAAGACAGCATATTCCACTGTCAAATAGCTCATAACATCAGGAAGTTCTAATTATTTAGTTGGAAATTATTTTCCTGCCATCTGAATCAGTTGCTTCATTGTATCCTAGTCTCTGAAGAGGTGACATCTGTTGAAGCTTGTAAGAAATCAGTTAATGTGTGTGTCAAATGTAAAATAGTATGCATGAAGCTGATTGGCTGGGCAATGCTCGAGGAGATGGCTGAGCCTGGGACTTTTGGATACTGTTACATTTATCAGGCTTGAACTGTGCAGGTGCTTGCAGAGAAGCAGAGAAAAGCAGAGACATGTAGGAGATGGCTGAGCCTGGGACTTTTGGATACTGTTACACTTATCAGGCTTGAACTGTGCAGATGCTTGCAGAGAAAAGCAGAGACATGTATATATATTCTATTAGAGCAGTGGTTCTCATCCATCCTAATGCTGCGGCCCCTTAATACAGTTCCTCGTGTTGTAGTGACCCCCAACCGTCAAATTATTTTCCTACTGTTATGAATTGTAATGTAAATATCTGATAAGCAGGATGCATTTTCATTGACTGGACCAAATTTGGCACAAATATCTGATTCACTCAAATTTGAATAATGGTGGGGTTGGGGGGGGGATTTTGTCATTTGGGAGTTGTAGTTGTTGGGATTTATAGTTCATGTACAATCAAAGAGCATTCTGAACTCCACCAGTGATGGAATTGAACCAGTCTTGGCATACAGAACTCATATGACCAACAAAAAATAGTGGAATGGTTTGGTGGGCATTGACTTTTGAGTTTGGGAATTGTAGTTTATCTACATCCTGAGAGTACTGTGGAGTCAAACAATGATAGATCTGGACCAAGCTTGGCACAAATCCTCAATACGCCCAAATGTGAACACTGGTGGAGTTTGGGGAAAATAGACCTTGACATTTGGGGGTTGTAGTTGCTGGGATGTCTAGTTGACCTACAATCAAAGAGCATTTTGAACCCCACCAACGATAGAATTGGGCCAAACCTCCCACACAGAGCCCCCATGACCAACAGAAAATACTGTTTTCTGATGGTCTTTGGTGACCCCTCTGACGCCGCCTCACGCGTCCTAACCCCCAGGTTGAGAAATGCTGACTTAGATAGTGTTAACTCTGAAAGGTAACAAGACAACATTACATATGGGAAGAACGAAATAATGTCTATGAGACGATGGAGGAGAGATTATATGAACCCTGTTTTGTGTCCATTTATTATTCCCCCTTTTTTTGTAATATGTTGAGACGGAAGAAGACATACAGTGCTATACTTCCAAGATAAATGTTTAGAAAAAAGGAAGGTGGCAGAAAGACAGCCCAGCCCCGAAGCACTGGTCTGGGCAGAGAAGTCTGCACAAAATGCATTCCTGAGGCATGACCACCCATGTACTTAGAGGAAAAGCATTTCCTGCCGTTAAGGGTAAGGAGAAAGGTTGGCTGGCAGTGGACGAGGCGGCTATTTTAATCTCAGGATGGTTTGGGTTTTGTGGCACCGGAGACTGGCTTGTAAAGGAGGAGGAGGAAGCCATCTCTCTGCTTTGGCAGAATCCCATAGTCCTGGCAGCGTTGTGAATGCATAGTCTTTGGAGAATTGCTGTATTTATGCTATATTTCAATACCAGATTTAGAAATTTTTAATACCTGTACTACTTTTGGACCAGAGCTTTTATATATATATATATATATATATATATATATATATATATATATATATATATATATATATATGAACTAGCTACAAAGCAGTGTTTCTCAACCTTCCTAATGCCGCGAGCCCTTAATACAGTTCCTCATGTTGTGTTGACCCCCAACCATAACATTATTTTCGTTGCTACTTCATAACTCTAATTTTGCTACTGTTATGAATCATAATGTAACTATCTGATATGCAGGATGTATTTTTATTCACTGGACCAAATTTGGCACAAATACCCAATATGCCCGAATTTGAATACTGTTGGGGTTGGAATTAATTTTGTCATTTGGGAGTTGTAGTTGCTGGGATTTATAGTTCACCTACAATCAAAGAACATTCTGAACGCCACCAACAATGGAATTCAACCAAACTTGGCACACAGAACTACCATGACCAGCAGAAAATACTGGAAGGGTTTGATGGCCACTGACCATGAATTTTGGAGTTGTAGTTCACCTACATCCAGAGAGCACTGTGACCTCGAACCATGATGGATCTGGACCAAATTTGGCACGAATAGTCTATATGCCCAAATGTGAACCCTGGTGGAGTTTGGGGAAAATAGACATTGACACTTGGGTGTTGTAACTGCTGAGATTTATAGTTCACTACAATCAAAGAGCATTCTGAACTCCACCAAGGATGGAACTGAACCAAACTTGGCACACAGAACTACCATGACCAGCAGAAAATCCTGGAAGGGTTTGGTGGGCACTGACTATGAATTTGAGTCCCCCTAGGAGTGAGAAAAGCTGTATAGGAATACTGTAAATAATAAATAATAATTTTGGATTTGTAGTTCACCTACATCCAGAGAGCACTGTGGACTCGAACAATGATGAATCTGGACCAAACTTGGCACAAATACTCAATATGCCCAAGTGTGAACCCTGTTGGAGTTTGGGGAAAATAGACATTGACACTTGGGTGTTGTAGTTGCTGGGAGTTATAGTTCACCTACAAAGAACATTCCGAACCCCACCAACGATAGAATTGGGCCAAACTTCCCACACAGAACTCCCTTGACCAACAGAAAAAAACTGTTCTCTGATGGTCTTTGGCGACCCCTCTGACACCCACTTGCGACCCCCCCCCCCCCCCCCCCCGGGGTCCCGACTCACAGGATGAGAAACGCTGCTCTAAACACTGCAGAATAGCAAAAAAAACCAAAACAATTTTTAACTAACATAAGTGAATATTTGAAAAAGCAAATTTCTGGTAAGGAGGTCATTCATTACTGATTTCCTCTTGAAGAATGTAAAGGGGAATGTAAATGTTTTCTTCCCATTGTGAGAAAGAACGCAAGATTCACAGAATTTTCAGAGCCAATTCACAATGGGATTTATTCTGTGAAAAATTCACAACTGTGTCTTTTGCACAGAAAACAGAATTTGGATGATTTTTTTCTGCACAGAAAATATTACTGTACTACAAGCATCTTTTAAATGCAAACAAACTGTGTTCAAATTGTGCATGGAATAAATACTGAAAGTGTGAAAATGGATCTAGGCACTGGACTCTGCAGGCCAAAATCCCATTGGCTTTTTTAGCTGTCACATGACATTGTTGGCTCATGTTTACCTTGTTCTTCACGAGCACTCCAAGTTCTTCTTCACACGTACTGCTATTGAACCAGGCTCCCCCCATTCTGTATTCTTGCCTTTACATCCATAGCTTCGAACATTTAGTAGTAGTAGTAATAATAATAACAATAATAATAATAATAATAATAATCTTTATTTATAGCCCGCCACCATCTCCTCGATAAGGACTTGGGGCGGCTTACATGAGGCCAAGCCCAAACAACAAGTTACAGCAGAATAAAACCCAAAATTTGCTGTTCTTCTCTTTTGTGGTATTCAGTGCAACCTCCTAAAAGGGTTCCATGATAGATGCATGGAAAGGGATTTGGGGGCAAGAAGAGGAAGTGATGTCATGTAGTGCTCAATTAGTAAATTACTATAAGGTAGGCACGGACAAACTTAGACCCTCCAGGTGTTTAGGACTCCGACAATTGCTAGCAGCCTATGACTGTGCCACCCTGAGTCCCCTTGGGGAGATTGTGGCGGGCTATAAATAAATTATTATTATTATTGTTATTATTATTATTATTATTGTTGTTGTTGTTGTTGTTGTTATTATTATTATTATTATTATTATTATTATTATTATTATTATTATTATTATTATTATCTTGCCCAATGAAGACTTTTGGACAATTCAGAAGGCAATGTCACTTTGTTGGCATCCAGAATATTGATGACTCCTTTTTTGTGTATGCTTTAGGACAGGTATGGGCAAACTTGGGGCCCTGCAGATGTTTTGGACTCCAACTCCCACAATTCCTAACATCCTCAGGCCCTTTCCTTTTTCCCCTCAGCCGCTTAAGGCTGAGGGGAAAAGGAAAGGGCCTGAGGCTGTTAGGAATTGAAGTCCATAACACCTGCAGGGCCCCAAGTTTGCCCAAAGATGTACAAACGCAAGTCCTGCACATAAATTATATCCCAAACAGTCCTGGAAAGACAAGAAACAAGGAGAGGAAGAAACAGCAAGCAAGCTTGTTTGTTTTTTTTTAACTTAAACACCCATATGAATTTATTAAATCCAGAGTCCATATTAGGATGGAACGATGAGAATGGTATTCCTTTTCCTGTTTTGTTATGTTAACTTTTTTTTCTTTTTTGCTCTCATAAATCAGCTCTTTATGAAACGGAGACACAACTTGGAGGAAAACTCCTTAATAACAATGTCCTAAATACCCGCACAATGGAATGGAGGTCACAATGATTACTGGTTTGAGCTTTGCTTTTAAACATAGAGATTTACGGAGGAAGGGAGGGAGGGGTGGGTGGGTGGATGGGGGTGAGGTTTCTCTCCCACGGATACAACATGTCACACGGAACTTCACCAACATTTCCAGTGATCCTTCGCTTTTCCCTCCCCTTCGCCTGGTGCTGCCCCAGATCCGGGCGGCCCCAGTCCCTCCCCGGCCCCCTTTTTTTTACTGCCCACACGAGTTTTACTGGAATATAAAATAAAAAGCTCTGGACCCAGGAGGACCGAAGCAACTCTGCCCCCTCCCTTGTCCCCACCCATTTGCCTTCTGTCCATTATTATCCAACAGCTGAGAGTGTATCAAGTTAGGGCTTTTTAAAAAGTTAGAATAGGTTAATCTTTTTTCTTCTCCTCTGCCGTTTTCGATGGGAGAGCCTCGGGGCCGCCGTCCAGCAACCCTGTGGAAACGGCTGCGGGAGAGCCGTCGGCCGCCCCTTTTACCACTGCTACGGGAGCCCCATTGGCCGGGGCCTCTGTTGTTGCCCCGACTGCACTGTCGGTCAGCGCTAAAGGGGCACCGTCCGGCTGAGTGATGCTCTGCGTCGTTGTCCGAGACGCCGGGTCCTCCCCGCTGATGCCAAACTCATTGACACGGGTCAGATCCACTCGGTAGATCCATCGCTGGTAGAGATAAATGAAGAAAACTACATCTGCAGGAGAAAAGGAGAGGCCGAATGTTAACGCAGCAGGTATTTGGGCCAGGTAGGGAGGAAACAATGCTTTTTCATTAAAGAGCGTCCCCACTTTTGTCTGAGGTCAGAAAAGTCTAAAAGGTTTATTTATTATATTTATTTACTTCATTTATATACCACTTTTCTCAGCCCTTAGGCAACTCAAAGCAGTTAACAACAGCAATTTCAATGCACACATTACAAAACAATTGAAACATTTAAAAATGTTCTTTTGTTGAGAGGTAATTAGACCTCACTACCTCTGAGGATGATTGCCATAGATGCAGGCGAAACGTCAGGAGAAAATGCCTTTAGAACATGGCCATATAGCCCGAAAAAACCTACAACAACCCAGTGATTCCGGCCATGGAAGCCTTCGACAATATATTTGAGGATTATAAGAAAACTAACTAAATTTCCCAAGGGTACCACCTAAATTAAGAAATAGAAATAAGTGAGGATACTTGCTGTAAGGAGAAGGGAGAATTATAATACAACAAAAACAAATAATTAAACAAATAAAAACTTGAAAGGCACACTCCCTAAATAGGGAGATAATATAGAATGGAAAATATATACTCCACCAAGAAGGAGAATGGAAGTCAACCTGTGTTTTTGTCTTGTTACGTTTCTATTTTTGTACTTGTTTCGTACTATTTTTTTTGTTGGATCTCCTTCCTGTACCCCTCCTACCTGACCCTTTACCATCGGAACTCCCACACTACCCTTCCTACCATTCCTGACCCCCTCCCCTATTCCCCAAAATATCTTGCAACACTGTATTTGAAAACACCAATATTTAAAAAAAAAAAGAAAGGGAAGGGAAGGGGAGCAGATGAGAGGGAATGCCACAATGGCAAAACATGATGCATCAATGGAAGAGGGCAGAAAAATTACCATCTCGAAGGCAGCCTATCCTGTACATCATGGGCATTTTGATGACAAAGGCAAAAAGATCATCGATGAAGGTGTTCAGGGCTTTGTAGGTGAGCATCCGCCACGGTAGGTGAGCCACTGACTTCAACTTGTAGTTGATGAAGAGCTGAGGTGTCATGGTGATGAAGCCTGGGTTGGAAGAGGGACAAAAACAATAAAATGATACCAAGAACAACCAGAAGATTAAGGTGAAGGAGCTTGAAGCTGTGGGCTGCCCAATATACTGATGACATCCAACTCTTTTCTCTGTCCTTTCCATCTAAATCCATGGAAGATGAACAAATAATGAATCAGTACCAGATGTAAGCAACAAGCTGCATATAAAGCAAGTTTCCTTAGACCAGCGTTTCTCAATCTTTTTTTCCACCAGGGACCACTCTCCAACATTAGTTACGAATCAGCATTTGGTCAACTTTAGATTCAGTTTGGTTATTTGGGGTGCTGATTCAGAAAATTGCATTGGATAGACCACATCAGCTCTAGTTTTTGATAAAGAACCCATGCCATCCAGTAGTCACTATCTGCTTGCCCACAGAAAACCATATTTAATAAGCCTTGGCACTGTAAGAGAGTTTTGCAAGACCAGTCGCTCATTCCCACGTTTTCATAGTTGTTTTATTTTTAATGTATTGAAATTTTTATTTAATAAAAATATTTTAAAAAGAAAATAATACTGCATTGCATAGACCACATCAGCTCTAGTTTCCGATACAGAACCCATGCCATCCAATAGTCACTATCTACTCACCCACAGAAAACCTTATTTAATAACCTAGAGCTCATGTGGTAGTAGTAATCTTTCATGGGTAGTCAGTCTCTCCCCTCCCGACATCCCCATTGCATTGGCACTATAAGAGGGTTTTCCAAGACCAGACACTCTCGTTGTCGTGAGGCAACAGTGTAGTAATGGTGAGGATGCAGACCATTATTTTTGTTCTTGCAGACCACTGGTGATCCACAGACCACAGGTTGGGAACCACTGGCTTAGACAAAGATGCTTTGGGATCGGTTGGAGGACACATCAAATAAAGATTCAATATCTGTTAGATCAGTGGTTCTCAACTTGTGGGTCCAAAGGTGTTTTGGCCCAAAATTTCCAGAAATCCCAGCCAGTTACCAGCTGTTAGGATTTCTGGAAGCTGAAGGCCAAAACATCTGGGGACCTTCAGGTTGAGAACTACTGTGATAGATGGGAGTACTTTCCCCTTAAGATACAAGATCAAAGTTTGGGCATGTTATTTGATTATTTACAAGAATTAATTTAATAATAATAATAATAATAATAATAATAGGAAGAAGAAGAAGTTGTTTTATTTCTTGCCCGCCTCTCCTCACGGTTCGAGGTGGGTTACAGTATTACTAAAACATAAACAAACACATAATCATTTAAATAATTGGTGCCTGAGCGTATGTGTTCTTCTTTTTTTTCTAAAAAAAAATAATTTTGATTAAAAGTTTTTAGAAGCATATATAAGAAATAAAAACAGGGATAATAAACAAAAACATATAAGAAAAAATGAGAAAAAAGAGACTAGGGAGCAATAAAAAAGAGTGTCTGTGTTCTTCTTTGCTACTCTTATTATTTTAAAATTTGTCTTGTGTCCTTCAGGGTATAAGCCTTTAGACAAGCACACAAACACCCTGGAAATTTTAAATAAATGGGTAAGGAACACAGGAAAAATATTTTCACTTTTTTTTAACAGCACCTAAATGGTAAAATCTGATTTTGTTTTGCTAGTCAATCATATTTTATCTGCTTCGATTTTGTGTACTGCTTTTTGTGGTAATGGAACTTATTCCTACACTTTCCTTGTTATTTCTGCCTCTGGCACCAATTTTTCTTGTTTAAGTAGTAACGTCAAAAAGGTATCTATGCACTCAAGTGAGTAATAACCGTATTTGTCCAAATGAACACATACAAGCTCCAGTTGATCAGCCAAGAACACACATTCCAGGCGAGATGCCTAATTCTGCATCAGTGGAGGTACACTTTTGAGGAAAGCTCCTGCAACTCACCAAATGTCAACAGGAATCCATAGAGCATGCTGAGAACCCAGGAGTACCAGCCCTTGTGTTCCATGTAGAGGAGGCTGTACACAGCATAACATCCCAGCAGCGGGAAAAGGATCCAGGAGAGGTACCGGAAAGCCATCTATAAGAGGAAATTAGAAACGGAAACAATAAAATTAATGCTGTCCTGCCATTGACAGGTATCTGTTGAGAATGTGTGAGAGAAAAATATTCCTGCAAGTCAAGACTCTTTCTTTCTCTTTGTAAGATCCGTAAGCCCTCCCTCCTCAAGAGGCCCGAAACTTACATCATCGTAGACTTTGGTAGACGATTCTATATATGTTGATTTGTCTTTGAACGTTAAACGTGGGAAGATTCCGGCAATTTTGTTGTCCCGATCCAACTGTTTATTAGCATGAGAAAAGAGAGAAGGGAGAAGTAAGGAGTTGGTTTGCCTGCCACCTCAAGAGGAGAAGAAGGAAATCCTACTGTATTGATGTTTGGTGTTAACTAATTGGTATGCTACTGTTTTTAAATGTCTAATGATTTTGTGTTGTGTATGCTGAAACTGGTTGTTAACCGCTCTGAGTCGCCTAAGGGCTGAGAAGAGCGGTATACAAATGAAGTAAATAAATAAATACTGCTACTCTCCCCCCATCCCCAAGCCAGCTAAGAGGAGGAAGGGGACTGAGGAAGAGACTTTAAAAACACCTGTCTCCTGGCTGTTGCTTACTACATCTGCCTGCCACCTCAGGAGGAGGAGGAGGAAATCATGCTGCTTCTCCCACCTCACCCCCGCCCTCAAGCCAGCTAAGAGGAGAAAGAGGACTGGGGAAGAGACTTTAAAAACACCTGTCTCCTAGCTGTTGCTTACTACATTTGCCTGCCACCTCAGGAGGAGAAGGAGGAAATCATGCTGCTCCCCYCACCCTCAAGCCAGCTAAAARGAGAAAGGGGACTGAGGAAGAGACTTTAAWAGCATCTGTCTCCTGGCTGTTGCTTACTACATCTGCCTGTCACCTCAGGAGGAGAAGGAGGACCCCCCACCCTCAAGCTAGCTGAGAGGAGGAAAGGGACTGAGGAAGACTTTAAAAACACCTGTCTCCTGGCTGTTGCTTACTACATTTACCTGCCACCTCAGGAGAAGGAAGAACTCATGCTGCTTCTCCCCACCCCCGCCCTCAAGCCAGCTAAGAGGAGGAAGGGGACTGAGGAAGAGACTTTAAAAACACCTGTCTCCTGGCTGTTGCTTATTATTTCTGTTGTAGTTTTATACTGTATTTAATGTTTTTATGTGCATTAAATAAATAAATAAATAAATAAATAAATAAATAAATTGCTTTGGTGAAATAACCTAACAGGCTCAAAGCATGTGATATGAACTCTTACCCTGACATCCATAACTTTTGTGATCTTCCAAAGATCTATGAGGAGCCCAATGAAGACGCTGACTTGCACCACAAAGTTTGTTTCATTGTCCAGGATGTAGAGGAGGACGACAAGGGACTGAAACACCCCGAAGAATACTGACCGGACTGAGAGGCCCTCTAGAGATTGCCTACTGTTCCAGAACTGAATGTCTATAAAGGAGAAAGAGAAATCAAGGTCCCAATGAAAAAAGTTCAATCCTAGTATTGATCAAGACATAATGACGACTTGTATTAAGTCAACTGCTGAATGGCTCAGTATTTACCAGTGACAGATTAGCATTTAAAGCTACAAGGCAGAGAGGAGCTGGGGCAGGCATCCCAGTCAGTGTTTTACCCAAGAGGAAGGAAGCAGGCAAGCAAGACTTCTCTGAAAATAATGCACTAGCTGTGTTTTGCTACTGGTCCAGGGCTATTAAAGTCCTGAACAACTTGAAACTTGGTTATTTAAGAGACCACCTTCTCCCTTAGCAACTCAATAGATCCTCACTGTTCTCTACAAAGATGCTATAGGTGGTACTGTATGCTCTCGAAATGTAACTATATTTTGTAACTCTTCTCATTTTCATGGTCAATGTAAATGTCGTTTTGTTTGTTGTTTATTTGTTCACGTGCTTCCGACTCTTCGTGACTTCTTGGCCCTGCCCAAGCCAGAGCTCCCTGTCAGCTGTGACCGCCCCCAGCTCCTTCAAAGTCAAACCAGTCACTTCAAGGATACAATCCATCTTATTTATTTACAGTATTTATATTCCGCCCTTCTCATCCTGCAGGGGACTCAGGGTGGATCACAATGCACATATACATGGCAAACATTCAATGTCATAGACACATAACATATATAGACAGAAACACAGAGGCTATTTCCAGCTTCATGAGAGTATGCTTTTTGAATTTCGGCCACCGGGGAAGCTGTCGCTTCACCATTCATTTGTGACACTGATGGAGTACTTCTTCATTCTTTTGCACGCTGCTGGAGAGTTTTATGGCATCGTAAATTAAATTACCATAAGCTGTACCTAAATTTCCTACTTGACAGATGCAACTGTCTCTTGGGCTGCAAAGGTCGACAGCAAGCTAGACAACTGGCTGAAAGCTCACTCCGACCCAGGCTGGCTTTGAACTCATGACCTCTTGGCCAGTAGTGATTTTAATGCAGCTGACTCCCAACCAGCTGCACCACAAGCTGGTCCTTGCCCTTGGTCGGCCCCTCTTCCTTTTTCCTTCCATTTTCCCCAGCATCATTATCTTCTCCAAGCTTTACTGTCTTCTCATTATGTGGCCAGAGTATTTCATCTTTGCCTCTCATATCCTTCCCTCCAGTGAGCAGTCGGGCATTATTTCCTGAAGTATGGACAGGCTGGATCTTTTCAGAATATTCCTACAACACCACAGTTCAACAGCGTCTATCTTCCTTCACTCAGCCTTCCTTATAGTCCAGCTCTTGCATCCATAGATTAATACGGGGAATACCATTGCTTTAACTATGCGGATCTTCGTTGCCAGTGTTATTTCTCTACACTTCACTATTTTATCAAGATTGGTCATTGCTGTCCTCCCAAGAAGGAAACGTCTTCTGATTTCCTGGCTGCAATCTGTGTCTGCTGTCATCTTCACACCTAGAAATACAAAGTCTGTCACTGCTCCATGCTTTCTCCCTCTATTTGCCAGTTATCAATCAGTCTGGTTGTCACTATCTTGATTTTTTTTTTATGTTTAACTGCAACCCAGCTTTTGTACTTTCTTCTTTCACCTTGGTGACAAGGCTCCTCAGCTCCTCCTTGCTTTCAGCCATCAAAGTTGTATCATCTGCATATCTAAGGTTGTTAATGTTTCTTCCAGCAATTTTAACCCCAGCCTAGGATTCTTCAAGCCACGCATATTGCATGATGTGTTTGTTTTCTGTGTTTATCCTATTGGTTATACTTTGAAAATTTCAGATCTAAGCAGTATACACATTTTCACAAAGGGTTAGAGAAACAAGTAATTAATGGTAGGGGGGGAGGAGGAAGAGAAAGGATGGGATGGAGGAAAAAAAGAAAGAATATCCTATAGTTTAGAACTTACCATTTTTGAAAGCAAGGAATTCAAAAATACTGTGTACAATGGAAACAACAATGGTCAAAGCCAGCAGGTAGGGATTGGTTTCTAACAAAGCAACCTAAAGGTGAAAAAGAAAGAAATACGAGTCTAAGTGTTGTGTACTTTCAGAAATCCACAAACCGTGAAGACCTCTCATCCTAGTTTTGGTTTCTTTTTAGCAATTCCAAAATATCTATAAGGTTTTTATAGCCATCACAGGCATGGAATGCAACAACAGAAAGCTCAAGCATGTATATGACTTTTGGACAGAAAGACAATGTACCGTATATACTTGAAAATAAGCCGAGTTTTTCAGACCTTTTTATGGGCTGAAAAATCCTCCCTCGACTTATAATGGCGTCAAGCCAGGCAGCAGAGCCTGGAGGCCATTGCTTGCAACATACAATATACTTCTCTTTCATTTTCCCCTCCCTAAACAGTGTGTTTTCTTTTCTGCTTCTGCTCTAATTCTCCTCCCAGGCTGGAATGTTTTTAAAAGGGAGAAGACGGGGAGAGAAGCCCTTCCAAGTCAGGAATATCCACTGATCTTATGAAAGCAGTGTCCCCTGAAATATTTGTTAATATCTCCTACAGATATATAGCCATTTCCCCCCTTTCAATCCCTATGTACCTATATATCTGTATCTATCTATCTATCTATCTATCTATCTATCTATCTATCTATACACATTAATGTTATACATGAATTTTCTACTATGTTTGCAGGTCTTTGCAAATCCTATATACATATAGATATCTAGAGATTTCCATGTACCTGTATATCTGTATCTATATGTATCCATTATTTTTATATATGAATTTCCCCCTCACATGTTTGCAAGTCTCTGCAAATCTTATATATAGATAACGATAAATATATCTGTGTATCTGTGTATGTATGTATATAAAATAATTTTATATGTGAATTTTCCCCTCACATGTTTGATATTGTACTATGCTGATAATATAATATATTGTATGTATATATATCTTGTAAGCCGCTCTGAGTCCCCTTCGGGGTGAGAAGGGCGACATATAAATGTCATAAATAAATAAATAAGTATCTTACACTCCGTGGAACAAGAATGTCTCTTTGATCCATCTGCTGACCTATGGCAATCCATACATTGATAGGGTTTTCTGACGGATACTCAAGATGGCTTGCCATTGCCTTACTCTAAAAAAGGCAAATGCACCTGGTCTTCCCTGCCTATCTTTGAGGCTTGACCCAGTTGGGCTTCAGCTGCATCTTTGTTGTAATAATAAGGTGAGCTATTTTGAATTCCAACTTTGGGAGAAAACAGAGATAACAAAATAGGTCAAGAAGAAGCCAGGAAGTTTTACGGACACCACCACCTTCCCACTCACTTTTACTGAATCTTGCTCCTCATCTGACTGTTCATATAAATCCTCTCCCAGGAAGTTCCAGGGGGATTTGGTACTCTGGGCAGCATAGAGCTGCCACCGCCAGAGCGAGAGCGGACAGAAGGAGAGGCGGAAGGGCAACTGCTCTACTGTCTCATTGATAGGGAAGTAGTCTTTCTGCAAGTTCCAGTAATCATTGAAGTATAAGATGGGATAGTAGTCACCGCTCACTGCATCAAACTTCACATCTAAAACAGAACACAGCAAGCGATATATTACAGGTGGTAGAAAACATCAAGCATCACTTGAGGGCCTATTGGTAGAAAACACCTGAATCAATAGGTAAGGAATAAACTACAACCTTGCATTCTGTATTTAGTGGCCCAAAGCTACAAAGAGACAATATGGAAACTCAGTAAAACTGCTAAGGAAGTCTCAAGGGGAATGATTCTCCCATAGAAGCAAAGTGTTATCAAAGAAGCATGACAAGGTAGCAACTGGTGGTTCTTACATTGGTCCAGAGGTGGAGGAACGCTGCCCTTGACCCACGGCGTGTGGTCATCCACTATGTTGATGGTGAGGTTTGGGTGCCAGTGTGAGATCACTTCTACAGGACCATAATCTTCAGCTCTCTGCAAGAAAAACACAAGGCCTGAGGCTGCTTCGTTTGGTTGGGCAGGAGGAGAAGGCTGCTGAATTCAAGACTATTTTGAGAGCCACAAAAGAGAGTGGAATCTCATTGTGTTTGCAATGGTTCCCAACCTGAGGTCTCCAGGTGTTTTGGCCTACAACTCCCAGAAATTCCAGCCAGTTTACCAGTTGTTAGGATTTCTGGGAGTTGAAGGCCAAAACATCTGGGGACCCACAGGTTGAGAACCACTGTGTTACAGAAAACAGACTCATGTATGGAGCAATCTGGAGCACTACTCAAGATATGAACAGATGCTTTTAATCCTTCAAGATCTAAGGTAATTATTCATGATGTATATACTCAGCTTGATCAGTTTATCAGTTTTATCATGTCTTATCATGTTACTATTTACTGTATTGTTATAAGTGTCTTATTTTAACTTACTACGTGGAGTGTGATCAGGTCTTGTCAGGCCTTGTTGTTCTGTTTCTTATTGTGATATGGCCTAAGGGCTAATCAATAAAATTACTACCTAAGGTAATTATTCCTAAAGATCTAAGTCTTTAAAAATGATTTAAATCTGGAGCCACCCAAAACTCTCATACACAACACTCCCACTTTTAGCATGGGAAAGGTTCAAGAATTAGCTATCTTTGGATGGAGATGATCCTTTAGAGCAGGGGTCCTCAAACATTTTAAGTAGAGGGCTGGTTCACAGTCCCTCAGACTGTTGGGTGGCTAGACTATATAGTTTGAAAAAACCATGAAAGAATTCCTATGCGCACTGCACACATCTTATTTGTAGTGCTAAAAAAAACCACCACAAAAGGGCAATACAATATTTAAAATCATACAATCTTAGAGTTGGAAGAGACCTCATGGGCCATCCAGTCCAAGCACCTGCCAAGAAGCAGGAAAATCACATTTGAAGCACCCCCGACAGATGGCCATCCATCCTCTGTTTGGAAGCCTCCAAAGAAGGAACCTCCACCACACTTCAGGACAGAAAGTGAATTCAGCACCTTTCTTCACGTGGCAGAACCACCCACTTGGACAGAGTTGCCTGACAGAATTGAAAAACAAATCCATTCTTCACACAGAAACAGGGCAAGCAGCCTCCCCTGAAAGCAGGTACCTTGAGTTACTCCACTGATTTTCTGCTTGTATCAAAGCAAGAATCCTGGCACGGGAATTACTGCTCTACTCATGGCTCAGAAATGTTCACTGATGGATAATTTTAGTACAGATTTTAAATATTACTATCAAGTTTTCAAAAGTTTACCATCAGTTCTCATCTCATGTGGATAGTGTGGTTTACAACTCTGATTTTTTAAAGAGCCGAACAGCAGTTGCAAGATGTATTTACACCAAAACCAGCAGTATCACTATTGAGTATTCATACGAAAGCTGACAGGTACAACCTGGGGATCACAACCAGACACAGTGAAGACATCTGCCCTTGCGCTATGTTACTCTGCTGCTATGCACGCCAAGTGTGGAACACATCTCACCGTGCTAAACCGGTGGATGTGGCTCTTAATGAGACATGCTGCATTATCACAGGGTGCCTGCGCCTCACAACACTGGAGAAATTACACTGTTTAGCTGGTATTGCACCACCTGACATTCGCTGGGAAGTAACAGCCAATAGTGAAAGGACTAAGGCAGTGACATCTTCAGTTCATCCTGTTTGGGTATCAGCCAGCACGTCAACGACTTAAATCAAGAAATAGTTTTCTAAGATCTACAGAGACACTTGCTGGAACATCTCAGCAAGCGAGAGTCCAAAAGTGGCAGGCTCAAACCCAGAACCTCGATCAATGGCAGATAGCAAATGAGAGACTACCCCCTGGGCACACAGAAGACTGGGCAACTTGGAAAGCGCTGAACAGACTGCGCTCTGGCACCACGAGATGCAGAAATGGGGCTACAAAGTGGAATCCACGACATGCAAGTGTGGAGAAGAGCAAACTACAGACCACCTGCTGCAATGCAACCTGAGCCCTGCCACATGCACAATGGAGGACCTTCTTGCGGCAACACCAGAGGCACTCCAAGTGGCCAGATACTGGTCAAAGGACATTTAATCAACTACCAAGCTTGCAAACTTTGTGTTTTGCTTGTTTGTTTGTTAAAAATGCAATACAATTGTTTGGTTTGCTCCTGACACGATAAATATAAATTCATACTTGCAGTGTGTCCTTTTGGGAAGGGAGGCAGAATCTAACCTTCTCCTGACAGAGGGAATGGTTCCATTCCTGCTCAGCAATGTGGCTTGGAACACATTTGGAGATGCTAAGAAAGATGTTCTCTAATTATAGCAAAACCAGAGGCTGCAGGCTCCCAGAAGCAGCCAGCATGCACGACAACAGCCTTTGGCCAGCCTTACGCAACTATGCGCTCAGCATGGCTTTAAGAAGGAGCACAGCTGCAGGTTGGAAGGGTCCTGGTGTTTGCTACATTGCAAATTGCACAGGTGTGACTAGCAAAGCTGGATCTAAATGGTGGCAGCGGGGGATGAGTTCACAGAGCTGCCAAGATTTACAGCGACCACTCTATGGAAGAGCTGTGACTTGAATACAAAGGTCTCTCTCACACACACATGCTCACTGAACCATCTCTAACAGCATGGCAGGGAGCCAGAAACAGCCCAGATTTTCTCTTCTCCTTCTCAGAGCAAAGTGCCGCATGGAATGAATTACTCTGGAAGGCAACAACACCATAACAACAATAATATTTACTTGTCCTTTCAGCAATAGAGGGAGCATTGCTGCTGACTGTGACTCTCCCCTTTGAAAAGTTTAATTTATCAACACCACCACCACACTTCTTTTAAAATTAAATTAGAATCAATAGGAGATGGGAATCATGTGATTTTCTAGATCTCTCAGCACTCTGCAACCTGCCGCGGCCACCAATGCTGAGGAATGATGGGAGTTGCACCCCAACACTATTTGGAGAATAGGAGCCTCTGGTGGCACAATGGGTTAAATCCCTGTGCTGGCAGGACTACTAACCGGCAGGTTCAAATCTGGGGAGAGCAGGTTGAGCTCCCCCTGTCAGCTCCAGCTCCCCATGTAGGGATATGAGAGCAGCCTCCCACAATGACGGTAAAATATCAAATATTTGGGCATCCCCTGGGCAATGTCCTTGCAGACAGCCAATTCTCTCACACCAGAAGTGACTTGCAGTTTTTCAAGTCGCTCCTAACATGAAAAAAATAAATAAATTGGAAAGTTGTGTGATTTTCACCCCTGTCAAGGAGAACTATGGTTGAATCCTCTTTTCACTTTTTTTTAATTTATTGCAAGTATCATGGTAGACATGCTGAGTATGGTTAAAAATAGATAAAAAATAGATAATCATTTTCCAAAAACCTGAACCAATACAGAAAATGACATTTTAAAAACACAACATTCTAACCCAGGGTTCCTCAAACTTTTTAAACAGAGGGCCAGGCCACAGTTCCTCAAACTGTTGGAGGGCCGGATTAAAATTTGAAAAAAACATGAATGAATTCCTATGCACACTGCACGTATTTGTAGTGCAAAAAACGCTTTAAAATACAATAATTAAAATGAAGAACAATTTTAACAAATATAAATTTATTAGTATTTCAATGGGAAGTGTGAGCCTGCATTTGGCTGATGAAATGGGATCGTTGTTGTTGTGTGCTTTCAAGTCGTTACAGACTTAGGTTGACCCTAAGCGAGGGCCAGGTAAATGACCTTGGAGGGCCGCATTCGGCCCACGGGCCTTAGTTTGAGGTGCCCTATTCTAACCTCTGCTTCCTTCTGAGAACATTGAGTTCATTCAACCCAATATCACACTTTCAAAAATGACCAGCATACATTTCTAGGCGGTGCATGAACATGGCTCACTGCAATACTTTAAGCCCCACTTTCACCCCAAAAAACCACCTGCCTGGTAACTGCCATCACTCTAGCTTTTTATTGCTGTAAGCAAATAGACTGTGGGTTGCTGTGAGTTTTCTGGGCTGTCTGGCCATGTTTCAGAAGCATTCCCTCCTGATGTTTCACCCACATCTGTGGCAGGCATCCTCAGAGGTTGTGAGGTCTGTTGGAAACTAGGCAAGTGGGGTTTATATAGCTGTGTAATGTCCAGGGTGGATGAAAGAACTATTGTCTGTTTGAGGCAAGTGTTAATGCAGAGCGCTTGATGAGCCACAGCAGAGCACTTGATGAACCAACCTGGACACAGCATATTTTTTGAGAACACAGAAATGCTGGACCAATCAAACAACTACCATGTCGGACTACACAGAGAAGTCACTGAAATCCACAAGCATGTGGACAATTTCAACAGAAAGAAGGAAACCATGTAAATGAACAAAATCTGGCTACTGGTATTAAAAAGCTCTGAAATTAGAAAAGCATATAAAGAGGAATACTCAGAAAACAGCGGAATTCCAGACAGGAGACAATCAGGGCCAGCTAACACATCCCAACAAAAGATTCCCCCAGGCAGGAAGCAGCCAAGCCTTGAAGCTGCAAGGCTATTCAATGCTAACCAAGATGATTAATTGCAACATTCACACTTGCCTCAAACAGACAAAAGTTCTTTCTTCCACCCTGGACGTTATTCCACAGATATATGAACCCCACTTGCTTAGTTTCTAACAAACCTCACAACCTCCGAGGATGCCTGCCATAGATGTGGGTGAAACATCAGGAGAGAATGCTTCTGGAACATGGCCATACAGCCCAAAAAATTCACAGCAAGCCAGTGATTCCATGACAACCTTCCACAACAAATAGACTGTGTTTCCTTACAGCCCACCATGTTTTATATTTGCAAACCTACAAATAAAACAGTTTGAGGAACTCCCCAATACTCTCCTGGCCACAGAAAGAAAACATAATGAGTGGAAGGCTTCATCCTATTACAGAGCACGAAACCCAAAAGGAAAGGACTGAAACTGTTCTGCAACATGAAGTACAGTGATTGTTGGCCACTGCTGATTCATCAGAGGCTCCGCTGCACGAGAGAGAGCCCTGGGCAGAGGGAACTGAATTAGGGAGTGCATAATGGGAAACTGTGCAACTAAGAAGCCCCAACGGCTGCTACTATTGTGAAGGGCACAACCGTGACCTTGGCGGCCAAAGAAGAACAGGAAATACACAAAAGTATATGCCACAAGAAGGAATAGTTACTTTTATCATTTCAGGATCTGCTTCTGTCTCCCCTGTTAGCAGATTCTTCGTTTTCTGGAACCTCCTGCGTTTGTATTTATTTATCACTGCAATGAAGAAATGGAGAAGCGACAAGGTGAGGGGAGAAATGGAAGGTAAGAATACATAAAACACTACGGTACTATGCAAAGAAAAACAGAAAGGCAAAGCCTAAACAACAGAATCTTCAGACTGCAAGCACTTTTTTTTTGCAATTTAGTTCTTAAGAAAACCTTTGTTATTGAGGCAAGCTAATCCCTTAAAGACTATGCAAAGACCTTATATTGCTCGATGGGGGAAATACTGTATCTTGGCATTCTGGCTTTCCTACAAAATAGTCATGTCTAGGTAGAGAGAGAGAGAGAGAGAGAAAGCTGTGCAGTGCTGTGATACAACACACTGTTGGGAAATTGAAAATCCTGATGGAGGGAGGCTTACTTCGTGATGTGTGAACTGTGGCGAGTCGCCTGTAGAGGTTCTTCTGTTTTGGATCAGGATGGAACCCGCTCTTTGTAAAGTACACGTGGATGTATATGGAACCATTATGTTGAACACTCTGAAATCACATAGACAAGAACACATGTATATGTCACAAGACAATCACTGGCATCATCCAAACTGTTAGCAGGATATTGTAGTAAGCAGTAACATTTAAAGCTATCGAAGTTGGTAGTCATCACTGTATCTTACAGCAATAAATTCCACAGGTTTTTTTTTGTCGGGTCAGGAGCGACTTGAGAAACTGCAAGTCGCTTCTGGTGTGAGAGAATTGGCCATCTGCAAGGACTTTGCCCAGGGGACGCCCGGATGATTTGACGTTTTTATCATCCCAAACCCATGCAGTATGTTCACTTGGTCATGGGGCTTCTGTGTGCCAAGTTTGGTCCCAGTCCATTGTTGGACCCCCCCCCCCCCCCCCCCCCCCCCCGTCCAGTCAATTCAGTTGCTGATCAACTCCTGTGTTTGTTGTGCCATAGGAAAGGGTAGGGAAGGGTTAAGGGAGACGTACTGGGTGGGGTAATGCAAATTCCACACAAGGAATCCTGGGATGCCTGCTTGTGGTGGAGGAAACACATCAAATCTAGGATGAAATTCTCCCTGAAGGAAAGCATTCATTGGATGATGGGCAACAATGTTTGGGGAGGGCATTGTCAGCATCTGGGCTATATGTTCATGGTGCTCGCTATAACCTGCAATGTCAGTTGTGGGAGTGCCTTTGGAGGGTTCTCAGCACTTGGAACCATAGCCTGTTTGTGGAGGCGGGAGGCTGTCTGTTTAAGTGGATACCTCTGCCACAGACACACATACACATTTTTCACTTTTATTATGTGTATAGATAATAAAAGTGAGCCCCCAGTGGTGCAGTGGGTTAAAGTGCTGAGCTGCTGAGTTTGTTGACCGAAAGGTCGCAGGTTCAATTCCGGGGAGCAATGTGAGCTTCCACTGTCAGCCCTAGCTTCTGCCAACCTAGCAGTTCGAAAACATTCAAATGTGAGTAGATCAATAGGTACCGCTCCGGCGAGAAGGTAATGGCGCTCCATGTAGTCATGCTGGCCACATGACCTTGGAGGTGTCTACGGACAACGCCAGCTCTTCAGCTTAGAAATGGAGATGAGCACCACACCCCAGAGTCAGACATGACTGGACTTAATGTCAGGGGACAACCTTTACCTTTACCTATAGATATAGATTAACATAGCACAATGGACTAGACTAGACTAGACTTAATGTCAGGGGAAACCTTTACCTTTAATTTATTTATTTATTTGTGACATTTATCCCCTCACCCCGAAGGGGATTCAGAGCGGCTTACAAGATATATATACATACAATATATTATATTATTAGCATAGTACAATATCAGTATTATATATTACTATATTGTACTATACTATTATATTGGATTATTAGTAATATTGATTGCAGTATAAAATATATAATTATAATAACATATGATTATTATTAGTATTGTATTGTATTACATTATAATATTATAAATATTATATGTATATACAATATATTACAATATTAGCATAGCACAGGAGACAAGGTGGAACTGTCCCCTGCCCCCCCCCCTTCACTCTGGCCCAGAGCAGCAGTTGGTGCTGGGGAGGAGGGGTCCCCAACTGATGACATATGCTGGAGACAAGGTGAAAATGTCCCCTGCCCCTCCCCCACATTCTGGCCTAGAGCAGCAGTTGGTGCTGGGAGGAGGGGTTCCCAACTGATGACATATGCAGGAGACAAGATGGAACTGTCCCCTGGTCCCCTCTCTCTACAATCTGGCCCATATTATTAATATTAGTATTATTATATATTAATATATTGCAATATACCACTATAATGCAATACTATTAGTAATATTACATGTAATATATGATACATAATTATTATATTATAATATTATGTTATTATTAGTATTATATTATAATATTATCACTATTATATGTATATACAATATATTATATTATTAGCATAGCACAATATTATATTATATTATATTATATTACATTACATTACATTATATTATTGGCATAGCACAATATTAGCATTATATATTACTATATTGTTGCTGGGGGGAGGAGTTGTGTGAAGCAGTCCTTCCTTTTATCTATCCAGAATTTCCCATCATTCAGCTCCAGGAAAATGAGCAATTATAAAGAGGAAGCAGCTAGTGATGTGAACGGCCCAAATACCTCAGGAATATCTAACTCTGCATAGTGTTCGTAGCACCCATCGGAATTCTCGCCACTGCTCCAATCTCCGTAGACAAGATCCCGTTGCTCCCAAAACAATGCTGAAGTAGCATTGAAATCTGTAAAGTGCTCATGCTCTGATATATAGACATGAAGATCCTGCAGTGAAAAGAACAGTTTTTGTCAAAGGAGGCAACAATACACAGTAGCTAGGGGGAAAACAACATATACCCTGCTCAGCCTTTTTTACTCTTGGACCATCAGGACTGTGCATTTACTGCAAAAATAGAATGTGGTAGCTGGCATAAATGTCAGGTTCCAAAAAAAAAACTTATCACAATTTCATTTCAGGCAGGGAAGAGAGCTCTTTTCATGAATCCTAATATATGCTTGAATGTATGTAACAGCTGTAATTTCACAAGCTAAGGAAATTGCCGAGTAAAAACTCCCATGGATGAAAATATATACAGTGGTGCTATAAAATGGCGTATTCCATACAAAATTGTGAAATCAAGGTTTCTTTTTTTCTTTTTTTGGAATATTTTCTGGCTGTGGTTGGTTAAATCCCTGGATCCGGAGTGCTATGTTGCACTCCAAGCCTGGGAACCATCTCTGTCCCTAACACACAGTCCGGTCCATAGCAAAGCAGTTTCATTATATATGAAAAGCAATTCAGCAAAAAGTATAACAAACTAAATATCAAGAATAGTCCACGGAAATCATAGTACAAGATTAGCATCAAATACCAGGAATACAAAAGTAGAATAAATCCAAAATTCAGGAACTGTTCTCAATACTTGGAATCATGAGACATGAACAAAAGGATATATAGAACGTGAAACTAGAAATCCCTTGACTTGACAGTAATTCTATACTCAAATGCCAACCTTGCAGACCCATCTGCTGGCTAGCTAATATAGCCTTCTCCCTTGGGAAACTGATTTCTTGACTAATAAGCATTTTGACCTTGGTAAATTCTCCTGAGAAGCTCTATGTTGATGGAAAGTAAATCTTCTGTCTAACTGCTCATTAGTCTGTTCACCTGGACTTTCATTTTCATCCTCTGAGTTCAGATCTGTTCCTGACCTTGCTTCCCTAGTGAACAGCCTCTCAAGAATGTGGCCTTCAGACACAGACCACTCATTTTCAGGGCTTAAAATCTCTTGCTGGCTCTCTTTCTGACTTGCAGACCCAGAACATCCAGTGTCCTCAAAATGACTTACAGGCCCAGAATCCCCAGAGAGATGAGTTGCAGGCATAGTCAAAGGCTGAACTACAATAGGCTGTGTGTATCTGCTAAAGTAGTAAAACTGCCAAAATACATTATACAATAAAAGTGTCTGAAGTGTGGCCCAAGTGACGCCCACTACTGTAGCCCCTGGAGCCTTTTATCCATCCCTTTAAGCCCCATCTGTGTTTTTTTAAAAAAAAATCATGCCATTTTTAGATTTTTTCTATTTACACAGAGTTCCCAAGACATCCAAAACAACCCCAAATATATCTATTTTTGTCAGTGTCCTTCTCAAAATGGCAACTAGAAGTGACACTACATCACTATTGGTTGCAATTTTCTGAAGGACTCTTGATAAAGGTATCTGGCAGCACTTTAAAGTTGGAGTGGAGTTGCTTACCCCTTGAATAATATGCAAGGCCATATATAAATTCAGGAATATCTGCTTAGCTTCTGTGATTTCGAAAGCTTGCAAATCCTAATCTTTGCTGGTGATGAATTCAGATTACTCATATTCAGAAAACATATTGGTTCACATAAATCACTCAGGTGAGAGAAATGGTTTGTGCTTTGTCTTTTTTGGAAATCCTGGGCCCTACTGGCTGTTGTCCCTGTCACACTTACCATTAAAGTGTCCTTAGGAAAGAGATTGCGGCTTGGTGCCCTGGGGGCTCCACCAGCGGTGGTTTGATCCTGTGGGGCCGGCCCACGACGGAACCAACTGCTGATGGCCCAGATGATAAAGATCCTGTTGGGAGCAAAAAAAGTGGATCATTAATGCAAATTAGAGTTATAAAACAACCGTTCCTTCAAGGGAGATTCCAAATCAACTCTGATCAAACAGGGAAGTCTGCGGAAAATAAACTTTCATTGATCCACACAAACTAACACCTTTATCTCTGGTGTGAAGAGAGAAGGAGGAGCTAGATGGGATAGAAGGGAGGTCTCCCTTTATAATGCTCTGGGACTTTCTCCCCGAGTCATTGGTGATCACAGTAATAGGATGGGGGTGTTGGCTGAAAACAGCTCCTGACGCACTTACTTACTTTCATTTTATTTTATTTACTCATTTTTTACCCCGCCTTTCTCATCCAAGGGAACTCAAACTGGCTTATAGCCCCAAAAAGAATTCAATGCTTGTAAAAACCAACAATAAACAGTAAAATGTATCCCACAGTTAAAATGATTAACAGTTATTCAGTAAAACACATAAAACAGTATACAAATTAAAAACATTTAAGGCGGATAGTTCCATTCATCCGATAATCTTGCTCAAATCCTTAATTCAGACTGTGTCGAAACCCTTAGTAACTTATTCTTCGAACACTTGTGTGAAAAGCCAAGTCTTTAGCTTTTTGCTGAGAGCCATAAGAGATGAGGCCTGCCTGATGTTGCTAGGGAGGGAGTTTCACCACTGAGAAGGCCCTGTCTCGTGTTCCCACCAACCGCAGCTGCAAAGAAGGTGGGACCAAGAGCAGGGCCTCCCCAGACGATCTTAAAGTTCTAGTAGGCTCATAGGAAGAGATGCCTTCGGGCAGGTAAGTTGGATCAGAATCATTTAGGACTTTATAGGCGAAGATCAGCACTTTAAATTGACCTTGGTAGCATATCAGCAGCCAGTGGAGCTGATGCAACAGAGGAGTTGTGTGCTGCACTTAGAAGTTTGGCTGCTGTCCGTTGGACTACTTGAAGCTTCCGGGCCATCTTCAAAGACAACCCAACATAGAGCACATTGCAGTAGTCTATATGAGATGTAGCAAAAGCATGGACTACGGTGGCTGTCTGACTTTCCAAGGTGTGGGCACAACAAGTTGTAATTGTGTGAAAACTTCCCTGGACATGGTGTGAAACCTGGGGCTACAGGCTCAATGTTGAATCCAGGATCACTCCCAAGCTGCAAACCTGTATCTCCAGGGGGAATGCAACCCCATCCAACACAGGCTATAACCCTTTACCCTGTTTGGCCCTCTGACCAGAAGTACCTCAGTCTTGTCTGGATTCAATTTAAATTTGTTTGTCCTCATCCAGACTATCACTGCCACCAAGCACCAGTTCAGGACCTGAACAGCCTCCTTAGATGTAGGTGGAAAGGAGTGCGTACAGGTGGCATAGTACTCCAAAAGTCCGGACATCTCCCCTAGTGGCTTTTCAGATTATACCCCCCCCCCCCAAAAAAAAATATCCCTGTGTCAACATGGTTCCTGCTTAGAGAGCTATAATCCTCCAAAAGTTACTGTTTCACAATCTTGTTCTCTAGGTGTGTTGGACTTACATTTAGTTCTGTTAACAGCCTTGTCCCCAGTCCAACATTTTCAGTACCTTTTCAAATTCTTTATCAGCATCACGCAGGTATTGCTGAAGTGTACTCTACTGGCATGAAAGTATCTGAGGAGAGTCCTTTATATCAATGGAGGCCCTCCATATAAACATGAAACCAGGTTTTCATGGAAGCACAGAGTGGGAAGAGACCGCAAGGTCCATCCAGCCCACCCTATTCTACCTTGTAGAATAACACAATCAAAGTACTTTCAAGTAGATGTCACTTAGTTGCTGTTTACAAACTTCCAAAGAAAAAAGATTTCACCACACTCAGATGCAGCATAGTCCTCTGACAAACAGTTCTTCCTAACATTTAAGTGGAATTTTTTTCCCCTGCAGTTTGAATCCATTGTTCAGCATCCTAGTCTCTGGAGTACAAGAAAACAAGCTATCTCCAATCTTCACCGCAACATCTTTACAATTATTTAAACAAGTCTATCATGTCTCATCTTAATCCACTCTCCTCCAGGCTAAACATAACCCAGTTCCCTAAGCCGTTCCTCATAAAGCTTGGCTTCCCAGCCTTTGATCATTTTGGTGCCTTCCTCTGGACACCTTCCAGCATGTCAACATCTTTCCTAAACTGTGGTGCTTGCTTGGAGAGCCTTCATGGGGAAAAGGTACTGTCACCTTCAGACAACCCCCTTTCATGCAAGCAAAGTGACAAAGAGAGGATGGGTGGAAGTACACAGAATCCCAATGATCATCTGAACCTACTGGAGGGGCTTGAGAGGACTGACTCACCATAGAGGGAGCTGTAGTTTATCCTGCAGCCAGAGGCCACACAGACCCCACCAATGATGCATCTAGAGAACAAACCTGCCCAACATGACAAACTTTAAGCACTGATGGAGTTTCATGGGGTTAACCTGGCATGATGTGAGTTGTAGTTCACCCACAACCTTATACATTTTGTAAAATAAAAAAAATGACTTTTTCAAATAACCCGGGCAAAGCCTGTATAGCCCTGCATCGGTCTTGATGCAGGGTGAACTACAACTTCCATCATGTTGAGTCAGGCCCCAACCCCCTCCAGTATGAGCAGTTGCTGATCAATTCCTCTGTGTTTGCTGTGTGCCATAGGAAAGAGTACAAAAGTGTTATGGGAGATGTAGTGGACGGAGGCATGCACATTCCATACCAATGGGCAAAGCTGAGAATCTCATTCCATTTACTGGAGAAAAGGGGAACAAGGTTCTGGGTATGGTATAATACTATTTGGGACATCTGTGGGGATATCAAGGTACTTGTTTATAAAGCTATTGTCCCCCTAACCCTGCTCTATGCCTGCAAAACGTGGACTATCCACAGATGTCACATATAACTCCTGGAACGAATCCATCAGCGTTGCCTCCGAAAAATCCTGCAAATGTCTTGGGAAGACAAGTGGACAAATGTCAGTGTGCTGGAAAAAGCGAAGACCACCAGCATTGAAACGATGGTCCTCCACCATCAATTCTGTTGGACCAGCCACGTTCACTGTCTCCCAAAGCAGTTACTTACTCTGAACTCAAGAATGGAAAATGAAATGTTGGAGGACAGGAAAAGAGATTTAAAGATGGGCTCAAAGCCAACCTTAAAAACTATGGCATAGATACGGAGAACTGGGACGCCCTGACCCTTGAGCGCTCTAGCTGGAAGTCAGCTGTGACCAGCAGTGCTGTAGATTTTGAAGAGGCATGAATGGAGAGCAAAAGAGAGAAATGTGCCAAGAGGAAGGCGCATCAAGCCAACCCTGACCGAGACCGCCTTCCACCTGGAAACTGATGCCCTCAATGCAGAAGAACATGCAGGTCAAGAATAGGGTTCCACAGTCACCTATGTACCCACTGCCAGGACACTGCACTTGGAGGACAATCTTACTCGGCCAATGAGGGATTGCCTAAGTAAGTAAGTAAGTAAAGTGTAGTACCCAGAGCTGAAACAAGTTCAAAGGGGTTTTCAAAGTAACAACTTCTCCATTTTTGGTTTACAATAGGTTGGGTGGTGAGTGTTTACAATATGTGAGCGGGGAGTGTCTGTGTGTGTACCTCAAATACAAGGTAGACTGGTCACGTGTGTGCATTTCAAATGAAATTGTTAATCCCCTAAAAGCTGAATATGTAGTGCTGCTCCATATTAAATGGAAACAATATTGACAAAGATAAGAAATAAAAATTGTGATACTGTATTGTCCTAGTGCACTACCTTCAATGCTGATGGTTGTCTACTGTCTCCCAAAAGGATATTGCAAAAGCAGTGTGTCAGTTGAACCAGTGAACCATTCTTGAAGAACAATGTTTAATTTTACAAATAAGAAGCTTTTTCAAATAACCTGGGCAACACGGGATACCCAAACTAGTAGATATATAAATTCAGAGATGTCAAAATGTATTACATAAACAAATAAATAAAGCAGCTTTGTGTCTCTAAAAAAAACTAGGCACTCTCTAATGTTTGTCCCTCTTGCTACTATAAACAACAGCAATTATTTTCATATTTTCTTCAAAAGAACCTAGGATAGTATTGTCTTTTGTTTTTCATCCTTTCATCCATGAAGAGGGTGAGTCTATTCCCAGACTATTGTTTTGGGTAAGACCAGAATTCTCCACTTCAGTCTTTGATAGTAGAAAAGAAAAACACACAGGGACATAAAGGAATACAAAGTATTGAGTTTTCATTGTCTAAAAACTTGGGTAAAGACAAGACGGGAAGCCCACATACTTTGGCCAGGGTGATTTCTAGTAGCCACTGACTTATTCTTGGCTTTCTTGCTTCTTGCACTTACTTTGCCTTTGTAGAACATGTTTTTCATACCAAATGTCTAGTGAAAGAGTGGATGAATGCTGGATTTGTGTAATCTCTCCATGACAATTTACAACCATGACCTGCACCTCAGTGCAAGACACAGCTTGGCATAATCTGAAAAGAACCACTTGGTACTCCAGTGTATGCAGTGGTTTTATATATTTGTTTCTAGAGTTGTAGTGTATGCTGGAGGCCTGAGAAACATAAAGCTTTGGCAACTACATTTCTGGATCCTAAGAATCTAACTCAGTTGTTCTCAATCTTCCTAATGCCATGACCCCTTAACACAGTTCCTCATGTTGTAGTGACCCCCAAACATAAAATTATTTTAGTTCCTACTTCATAACTGTGATTTTGCTGCTGTTATGTATCTCATAAGCTGGATGGATTTTCATTCAATGGACCAAATTTGGCACAAATACCCAATACGCCCAAATTTGAATATTGGTGGGGTTGGAGGTGGATTGATTTTGTTATTGGGGAGTTGTAGTTGCTGGGGTTTATAGTTCACCTACAGTCAAAGAGCATTCTGAACCACACCAATGATAGAAATGGGCCAAACTTCCCACACAGAACCCAATGACCAACAGAAAATACTGTTTTCTGATGGTCTTTGGAAACCCTTCTGACACCTCCTTGCGCAAGAAGGCACTCCAAGTGGCCAGATACTGGTCAAAGGACATTTAATCAACTACCAAGCTTGCAAACTTTGTGTTTTGTTTGTTTGTTTTGTTAAAAATATAATACAACTATCTGGTTGCTCCTGACACGATAAATATAAATAAATAAACCTCTTTGCAACCCCTCCAGGGGTCCTGACTCCCAGGTTGAGAAATGCTGATCTAACCGATATAAGTTAAATCAAATTTTAATTGCATTTTGAGATGATAAAGGAAGAAAGGCCATATAGCTAAGCAAGATTCCTGCTTTGTGGGAGATGCCCACTGCTGAAGTCTGTGTGGGAAAATACAGTCAAAAGTCTTTGCAACTCATCCCTGGCCTGTGTTGTGAGTATCAGCACTTCTGGCATTGCAAAGACGACTTTCATATTCTCCTTCTACATTAACAGGCTAGCGGGCTTGAAATTATAGCTAAAGATAATCAGCCAACTGGGAAGAATGAAGGCCAGCGCTGTCAGTTTCTGCTGCTTCATGATTCATTGGTGAAATTCACAAACCTATGAGAGCTTAAGAGTGCTGCCTGCGCTACAAATGTGATGAAAAAAAATGCCTTGCTCTCTTTAGACAGGGACTCGTATCTTTTAATTTGAATTTCACACTCAGGAGGTAATGTCACCTTCATTCAAGGAGACACAGGCATACACAAGCACATCTGTAGAGGTTACACAATGTTTCACACAGACAGGCATGCATAAACACTTACTTAACTAGCAAAACAGTTTACAAGCCAGACAAAGAAACCATCTTTCTTTCATGCTTGGCAGCATCTCTTACCCTTGGTAAGAAAGAACTGGTAAACCAGATCATTAGTGTTATCATTTATAGAGTGCCATTAAATGTATATGGGACTTAACAGTAAACAGGGGTTCTACCAAAGGTGTACAATGTAAAATATGTATATACACAATACACACAGGAAAAAATACAGGATTAAACAAGGGAGCTTTACAAAAAAGCAGTTCTCTATGTACTTTTGAGTTGCTTGTCACTAATTGAATTTTTGTGAAGAGAAGCATCTAAAGGTGCTCTCTTTGGTTATCAAGAGTACTAGCAAAGCTTCAAAATAGGAGGATATTGCTTTGGTCTCTAAGGGAGAGAAGAGCAGATCGGCACAGCTTTCTCATGCCTTGGCCCTGGAGGTGGTGAGAGAAAAGCCTGTTTCAACTGTAACTTCTTTGGACTCATAGGGAGAGAACGGTCAGGCATAGCTTTATCATGCCTTAGTGCAATGGTAGTTGAGAGATCTTTCCTCTATTCTAGCTTCTATTGCTTTGGCTTCAGAGGGAGAGACGAAAAGCCAGGACAGCTTCACCATGTCTTGATCCAGTGTTTCAGGCAGTGGTTCTCAACCTGTGGGTCGCAGCCCCTTTGGGGTTCGAGTGACCCTTTCACAGGGGTCACCGAAGACCATCGGAAAACACACATTTCCAATTGTCTTAGGAACTGAGACACTACTAACTTTTCCCCACCTCCTTTGCTTCCCAGAGGACTTTTCTTCTTCTCTAGCGGGGGGGTGGGGAAGTGGTGATGTCACTCACACCCACCCCCTCTGCCATTTTAGGAGGAAGAGATGGGAGTGACAAAAGTGAAGTTTGCTTTGGAGCCAAGAGGGAATGAGGAAGGAGATGGAGGTGAGAAGGTGAGAGAGGAAGGACCTAGAGAGGGGAGGGCTGGGTGGAAGACAGGGCTTAGAGGGGAGTGGAGTGGCCCCTCCAGGGCCAAATTCCAGGGAGAAAGAGAAGTACAATGAAAATACATCCTGCATATCAGATATTTACATTATGATTCATAACAGTAGCAAAATTATAGTTATGAAGTAGCAATTAAAATAATTTTATGGTTGGAGTGTCACCACAACATGAGGAACTGTATTAAAGGGATGCGGCATTAGGAAAGTTGTGAACCACTGGTTTAGGGAATTTCTTCATTCCAAATGCCATGCTCTGGTCCCAGAGGGGGAGAGGAACAGCCTACATCTCCTTTTTTTATGGGCCCCCAGTGGTACAATGGATTAAACTGCTGAGCTGTTGAGCTTGTTGACCAAAAGGTTGCAGGTTTGAATCCGGGGAGCGGCGTGAGCTTCCGCTGTTAGCCCCAGCTTCTGCCAATCTAGCAGTTCGAAAACATGTAAATTTGAGTAGATCAATAGGTACCGCTCCGGCGGGAAGATAAGGGAGCTCCATGCAGTCATGCCGGCCACATGAGGTGTCTACGGACAATGGCGGCTCTTTGGCTTAGAAATTGAGATGAGAACCAACCCCCAGAGTCAGACATGACTAGACTTAATGTCAGGGGAAAACCTTTACCTATCTTATTTAGATTATAAACCTGAGATTAAAAACTATTTAAGTGATTACTTTTAAGTCACCCTGGGAGATTTCTTACTGGAGGGTGGGGTATAAATACTCTAAATAAAGAAATCATTTAGCCTTCCAGATTTGGCCAGCAGCAGTGAAGAATGCTGGGAGCTGCAGTTCCGCAATACTGGGGATGGAGTACAAGATTCCCACTCCTGTTCTGAAAAAAAATCGATCATTTCAATCTGTTTTATGACTTTTGGCTAAGCCTTCTTACCTAAAATAGGCAACAATTATTTGGACAATTCTCAACTCAATGAAAGAAGAATGATTAATATAACTTCAAGATAATGCTTTAGATCCATCCCGGCCATGAGAGGAGTTCTATTGCCAAGTAAAGATTACAATGATTTCTGCATGCTCACAATTTCTGAAGTGCTTTCCTAGCAGCTTGCCCAGTTTTAGGGAGTAGGACACTTCAATACTGACCTTGTTCTAATCTGAATTGCATTAATAAATTGAAATATTTTAACTGTTCTAATTGTTCTGAGGTTTTGCTGCTTGCTGGCATTGCATGGGTGCCAGATCCTTTCTGCTGATGCAGCTCTGAGAACCAATGTGTTTTCAGAAGCAAAAGGTTCCATAAAGACTAGGGAAGCAAAAATACTGTTCTCTTGTTGCTATTGGGTCACCTTGGTCTTCAGCTTAACATAACTATCTAGGCCTGACTGGCAAGAACTTTAGGGCAGGATTCTCTACTAGCTTTAACATTAAACATGCTGGTCGCTTCTGTGGCGAGAGAATCAGCCATCTACGAAGGGGTTGCCCAGGGGACGCCTGGATGTCTTGCAATCCTGCGAGGAGGCTTCTCTCATGTCACTAATTTTGTATTTTGTCTGTTTGTTTGCTTTGTTCTGTTAGAAATGTAATATAATTTGACTGGTTGTCCTGACATGACAAATAAACATTAAACATAATCTTGCAATCTATGAATCAAACTATCAAGATTCTATACATTAAACATTAAAGGAATTGAGTTTAATGTACATGAGACTTCCCACAAACACCTCTGCCCTGGAAGACATTACCAAATTCTGAAATGGAGTGCAATGAACTCTATTCACTTACACTTAAAGAAGCAATCTGATCTTAAAGTTTCCAAGTAGTAAATTATTAATAAAATGGACTTTGCCCCACAAGTACCGCTAGCAGAGTCCTAAACTAGTCCTATGAACTTTCTGCTTTTGGAACTGAATCATATAGAATCATAGAATCAAAGAGTTGGAAGAGACCTCATGGGCCATCCAGTCCAACCCCCTGCCAAGAAGCAGGAATATTGCATTCAAATCACCCCTGACAGATGGCCATCCAGCCTCTGTTTAAAAGCTTCCAAAGAAGGAGCCTCCACCACACTCCGGGGCAGAGAGTTCCACTGCTGAACGGCTCTCACAGTCAGGAAGTTCTTCCTCGTGTTCAGATGGAATCTCCTCTCTTGTAGTTTGAAGCCTCCAGGGAAGCAGAAAACAAGCTTGCTCCCTCCTCCCTGTGGCTTCCTCTCACATATTTATACATGGCTATCATATCCCCTCTCAGCCTTCTCTTCTTCAGGCTAAACATGCCCAGCTCCTTTAGCCGCTCCTCGTAGGGCTTGTTCTTCAGACCTTTTATCATTTTAGTCGCTCTCCTCTGGACACATTCCAGCTTGTCAATATCTCTCTTGAATTGTGGTGATCACAGAGTAAGAACAAGGGGGAAGGAAGCCCAAAATCTTGCTCCTGAAGTATGTATGATGGTGAGGTGTACCACTTCAAGCTGCAACCCTACAAAAGGTTTGGCACACACTGAACATTACACTAAAAAGAACATTACAGCTGAACCATCTCCCAGAAAATTAGTGTACTTGTATTCTTTGCCAGTATAAACGTGAGATATAAATAAAATGAACATGTTCAGAAAGTCACAAGACTAAACAAAAAACACCTCAATAACAAAGGATGTCTCCCTTCCACAATGTTCTCCGCTGCACAAAAGAGCGAAGGAAAAATGACTGGAGAATAACCTATGAATAATGAAGTAACTCCTTCTAACAAAGGTACTGTTTTCACTCAGAAACATTAGATTTATTCGTGCAAGATAATTTAAGCATTCTATTGTGGGACTACTCCCCAATGTCTGGACAACAAAATGGATAATGCAACTGGAAAGCTGTGTAGGGATTAAGGTGGACATATTACTCTTTCTGGCCTGTTTTAGGTCAGCCAAGGGTATTTTTCAAAACTGGTAGCAACCGGCCTGCAGAGAGAGGCTTAGATAAATACTGTTTCCTCAACAGATCCACCTTCCAAATCAGCACAAGGGAGTATAGCTGTTGCTAGAAGTATTAAGTTTGCAATGTGTTCTGAGCAAGCTAAAGTATTTCAGAAATGCCATTTACTACTACTACTACTATTATTATTACTATTTTTAGATATCTAATATCAGAGAATGTTATTGCTGCTTTCATAAAAGTCTAAAAACATGACTGCTGTTGCATACTAACAATGAGATGGTTTAAAGGAAATAGAGAAATCCCACCACTCACACCCTTCCATCAAGTTTTCTATATACACAAATATTCACACACAAAGCAGAAACTGGTGGTTCCACAAACATTGAGATCTCACCTAAACAGGACCCCTTTGATGACCTGCCAGGCATTTGGAGGTTGCTGTTGTGGCTGGTTCTGTTGCTGAGTATCAACAACTCCTTCTCCTCCCCCGGCAGTCCCATTGCTAGTCACTTGCTTTAACGTGAGGAGAAAAAGAGAAGACATGTATCAGCAAAAAATCATTCAGGAAAAAACCTAGCAGTTCAAATTAGTGTAAGCGCTGTGTTCACTGCTATTGATATAATCAACAAGTAATACCGATTTCAAGTCCCAAACCTTTACAAATGCACAAAACACTATCACTTTATTCCTAGCTCCTTCTATAATATACTATAAAAGCCCACCAATGATGATCTAAAGAGAGTCCCACTGGCTCCAGGAAAGGCCCCATTGAACTGGCATCAATTTCCAGTAGACTATTTTATTTTATTTACCCTATTTGTACCCCGCTTTTCTCAACCCTGTAGGGGACTCAAGGCAGCTTACATATATAGGCAACATTCCAATGCCATGTAAACACACACACACACACATGCATATGTAATGAATAAACATATATATTAAAACTCATTAAAACATATCAAACCTTAAAACAGTTATTAAAATTGTTTTATACAAAAGGATAATCCATAGCCATTTCAAATTGTCATTGCACTATTCCCTAATTCTCTAGTGGGCTACTAACTGAATGCTTGGTCCCATATCCGTGTCTTTAGCCTTTTCCGGAAGGTAAGGAGGAGGGAGGGGGCTGATCTGATTTCATTCAAGAGGAAGTTCCATAGCCAAGGCCCCACTACTGAGAAGGCCCTGTCTCTTGTCATCAACAACCACATCTGTGAAGGAGACAGGATTGAGAGCAGAGCCTTCCTATGCAATCTTAACCTCCTCGCTGGCTTATACAGGGAGATAAGAAAGGCCTAAAAACTTGGCTCTTCCGATGTGTCTTCAGCGAATGAATATGCAGTCTGTTCCAACTACTGCTCCGTTGTCATGAGGCACTTTCCCCCCACCCTTAATGAAGGCCTAACTCTAGTGTTTTGGCCCTTTTGTGTTCCTCCCTAAGAAACCCATTCTCCTTCAGAAACATATCTCATCCAGGGTTTTATCAATTTTATTCCTAGTACATTTGGCCTGCCCACTGTGTTCTATTTCTCAAGAGTCTGGAAAATATTCTTGTAGCCTAACTCCATAAAAGATACAACATTTAATGGGACTATTAGTGGCTAACTTACATAAAGTTCTTTAACCCCTGGGACTAGGTGCAGTCCTCGCAGATGTTTCTGTGGCCCGACAATATCTCAACATCATCAAACTAACTTTCTTCCTGCTAGAAGGTTGTGAAACAGATGCAACAAAGCACCAACACTGCACCAGGCAAGATACTTATCATCCAAACCGAAAGCTATTAGTAAGAACTTAAGGCCTTGAGAATGGTCTCAAATTTATTGAAGTGGAACGAACAGCAGAGAGGGCATTCGATTTCAGCATATGAAAATCTAGATGGTGGAGAATAACTAAAGGGGAAGTACAGTATTTAAGCAATATCACTGAGGGGAATTCCAAATTAAGAAAAAATGTGGACATTGATCGAGTTATCTTAAATATATGGTTGGCAGGCAAACAAAAGAATTAAATAGCCAAAATACAAGCAGCTTCCCATCAATGAGTAGAAAAACAGGTGTGGAAGGGTGATTTCCTCCAACCACCTCCCTGTTTCTAGCAGGTGTAATAGACAATTCACCAAACATTGTTATCCTGGTCTATTTTTAAAGAATGAAAGAGTACCTACGGTAATTCCCACCCTTTTGTGGGTTTTAAAGAGTTATTTTTCTGAGATGGCTTCATCTCAGGGAAAGAGGCAAGTTACAAACTGTTACTCATCCAGAGATGTCATGGACAACTTCCTCTCCTGCATCCCTGAAACCAATCCAGTCAAACAAAATACAGAGGCAGGACAGAGATGTCCTCTCCAGCAGAAGATAAATGAAAGTATATCAGGGCAAAAGCAATGAATCATGCAAAGAAATGACAGGAAGTATCCCCTATGGGTGAGTTCTCTGGGTGATAGCAGATTTTAATTATGCTTTTTCTCACAGCACAGGAACGCTCCCTGCACATAGCATAAGAATAACCGACTTTGAAAAAGATTACAACCAGCAAAGACAGGCTATCTGATCTAGACTGTGTAGCCAAAAAGCATTGTTGTCCCTTAGAATAAATCACATTTTGTGAGGCAGGTTGTGAGAGAGATTTCCAGGCTCCAAAGAAAACTGGCAAGGAGAGAGCAATTACCTCGAACAGACAAAAGTTCTTTCTCCCACCCTGGACTTTCCACAGAGATATAAACCCCATTTTCCTAGTTTCCAACGCTCCTCACGACCTCTGAGGATGCCTGCCACAGATGCAGGCGAAACGTCATGAGAGAAGGCTTCTGGAACATGACCATACAGCCTGGAAAACTCACAACAACCCAGTGATTCCGGCCATGAAAGCCTTCGACAATATAATGCCAACTAGGCTGTGTTCCCACAGAAACCTGGGACAGAGAACTTGCAGAATATTGAATGGAGAGTAAAGGGAAAACATTCATCTGACACAGCGTTTCTCAACCTGGGGGTCGGGACCTCTGGGTGGGTCACGAGGGGGTGGCAGAGGGGTTGCCAAAGACCACCAGAAAACACAATATTTTCTGTTGGTCATGGGGGTTCTGTGTGGGAAATTTGGCCCAATTCTATCGTTGGTTGGGTTCAGAATGCTCTTTCATTGTAGGTGAACTATAAATCCCAGCAACAACAACTCCCAAACGTCAAGGTCTATTTTCACCCAAACTCCACCAGGGTTCACATTTGGGCATATTGAGTATTTGTACCAAGTTTGGTCCAAATTCATCATTATTTGAATCTACAATGCATTCTGGATGTAGGTGAACTACAACTCCAGAACTCAAGGTCAATGCCCACCAAATCTTTCTAGTGTTTTCTGTTGGTCTTCAGAGTTTTGTGTGCCAAGTTTGGTTCAATGCCATCGTTGGTGGAGTTCAGAAGGCTCTTTGATTGTAGGTGAACTATAAATGCCAACAACTACAACTCCTAAATGACAAAATTAACCCCCCACAACGCCAGTATTCAAATTTGAGCATTTCAGGTGTTTGTGCCATATTTGATCCAGTGAATGAAAATGCATCCTGCATATCAGATATTTACATAATGATTCATTACAGGAGCAAAATGACAGTTATGAAGCAGCAACAAAAGTAATGTTATGGTTGGGGGTCACCACAACATGAGGAACTGTATTAAGGGGTCACTGCATTAGGAAGGTTGAGAAACACTGATCTGACTGGTTAAAAAGTACTGTAAAGAAAGGTATTTTTAAAACGTTGGAAAAGTGACAGAACGGGAAGGCCCAAAGGAGAAATGTCATGTGGGTGGATGGGGAGTGTGGAAATAAACAGTCCCCTACAGCAGGGCAACTAAACTCCAATTCCCCAGATGGAGAAGAAAAGAAAACCAGCAATTTCACAGGAAACCTAAAGAACACAGTGCTGACAAAAATGCCAGGGATCCCTTTAACCCAGTGCTCCCCAACTTTTGGTCCTCCAGATGTTTTGGGCTTCAACTCCCAGAAATCCCAGCCAGTTGACCAGCTGTTAGGAATGTGGGAGCTGAACACCAAAACATGTGGAGGACCAAAGGTTGGGAACCACTGCTTTAACAAAGATGACAAGTGAATCAGTGTAAAATGGTAGAAACTCCTGGTGATGCAGTGGGTTAAACCCTTGTGCCAGCAGGACTGAAGACCAATAGGTCACAGGTTCGAATCCAGGGGGAGTGTGGATGAGCTCTCTCTGTCAGCTCCAGCTACCCATGAGAGAAACCTTCCAAAAGGATGGTAAAACATCGAAACATCCGGGTGTCCCCTGGGCAACGTCCTTGCAGACGGCCAATTCTCTAACACCAGAAGTGACTTGCAGTTTCTCAAGTCGCCCCTGATATGAAATATAAACAACAAAAACGTAAAATTATATATTTTATTGTTAAAGGTCAAGTTGCTATTATGGCAATATGAAAGGGGGGAGTAAGAGCAGACTAAATTTGAAAGGAAAAAAATATGCTGGCCAAGAAAGAGTTGGAACTAAAGGAGACATGGACACTGACATACAAGAGAGGTAGCAACTGGCGGAATAACCAGAATGTCTCCTTTCTTTAATTAGAGAGAAAGGTAGAAGCAATTTGCTTGGGAGGCTGTTGAGAAGCCGGAGGACTGAAAAATGAACAAGAGGCTGACCCTTGTGCAGGCATCTAAGAATAAGAGATGGGCAGCCTATGGCCTTCCAGAGACTGGATTATGACTTCTAAGCAACGTAGTCATGGTTAAAGAAGTCACAATCCACTAACATTGAGGGCCACATGTTGTCCTAAATGGAGATAGAGACATAATTAATAAGTAACCAAGAAAGCAAAAGAAGAAACCAAGTGCTGAGGAAGGATGAAAAAATTGTACTTAAAAGGATTAGGAGGCTGGACCAACACTATGTGCCACTGCAGAAGATAAAGTATTCTAGCTGGTGCTTCATAATGTAAGCGGAATAAGAACTAAAATGGAGAGAAATCTGGGTTGAATGTCCATACTTGGCCAGAACCCATTCACACAGTCCATCTCTGCCAAACAACTGCACTTGATCAAGCACCAAAAGGCTTCTATCACCTGATTCATTTATATGTATTATACTTATACCACACTTTACTTCAAGATTGAGACCCACTATGGTTGGATTGAGCCTATCTGTATGATGAGACTTTTCAGCTATTTGGCACAGGCATGAGGGACATTATATACTGGCTAAAAGGTTACACAAGATGGGCGTCCAGATTCAAATCCTCCCATCAGGAGAGTCCCATGGAGTTTAGGACAATTTAGTAGTCTTAGTAGACCACAAGTCGAACCTGAGCCAACAGAGTAGATGTAGTAGCTTAAAAAGCCAATGCAATTTTAGGATGTATCAATAGGAGAACAGGTAATTCCCAAGTAACGAACAAGATAGGTCCTGTAGGTTTGTTCTTAAGCTGAATTTGTATGCAAGTCAGAACAGGTACATTTTAAAGTGGATTTCCCACACTTCCTTTTGTCTCACT